ATTTTTCTCAGTACCAAAGGTGAATACAAGTACTAAGATGCGATCGGGATGGTGTGGAGAAAAAAGGAAAAGCCAGAAAAAATTACGGCATTCGCTACCGGTACAGTTGACACAGTATAACGTTTTTAAAAAAGTATGCAACTTAAAGATCTTTGGATTTGACAAGACGATAGAGTGATATTGTGCATCACCGTTACTTGAGGAAAAATGTTTCATGAAATAATTTTAATTCCCTTATAACTTTGAAAAAAATTTACACACAGCCCTCGGAGACCTTTTCTTCGACATGTCCCGTATATCATTAAAAACAAAATAAATCCTATCATATGAAATAACATATGACTATAATCAATGTCAATGTTGCGTATCATATTGATATGTTATGTAAAGATATTAATTCATCTTGAAATATTTGGCATTATTAAACTGTGTGAAAAGTTAACTTTTTGACAGATATTTAATGACTTAAGCGACCTTACACTATGGCGGCTTCCATGCCACGTAAGTTGACATCTCGTCATTCCACTGAAAAAACGGTGTTATTATCGCATTTCTGAAGTGGTTTGTGTCTTACAACTTTACAAACACGATTGAAACTATGAACTCATTATCAGTATAGACAGGTGAAGGTCAGTTGATACAAGCCTGCAAGAAAATCATGTGTCCTTCTGGTCACACCTACATGAAGTCCTGCAAGGCTAGGGAGGTCAGCTCAAAAAATGAACCACCTAGAAAACATTTTAAAACATGTTTTTTGGACAAAACTCAAAGAAAGAGGAATTTTGGTGCAAAAATTTTGGAAATCGGTTGAGCGGTTCAAAAGTTACATCAATTTTTGTACCTCGAAAAGCGACCCTTTTTCTGTTTTTAGCAAATAGTCCCTAAAAGAGGCATGTTTGAGGCCTTATATCTGAAAATGTGGTTATGATATGTATTGTCTGATTGTTGTAGGGTGCCAAGTTCCCCTTAAGCTTCAAAAAGAAACATTTACTTAGTTTAGGTGGGGACAGATAAAAAAAAATTGGCAGCTGAACATGAGGAATTATTCGTTTGGACTTAGTTTTTTTGAGAAATGTGTCGGCACCCCTCTTTGCTAGACTACCACTTTTGAAGAACTTTATCTTAAAAAGTAATCACCCAATTTATCCAAATCTCCTTATTTTTACAGATCACAATGCATTTTCTTGAAAAAAAATTCCAGTTAGGGTTTAAGATCATTATTTTTTTAAATATTTTGATATCAAATACCCTGCGCAGCCCCTTTTTTTTGAGACGAAATCGAAAATTTCAGAAAAAATGACTTTTTTGATGCAGAAAGCTCAAAAAAAATCTGGAATTTTTTTTATATGGTGTTTCTTGTTGATCTTTGTATGTTTTATCAGAAAATATGTAATATTTCCCCTAAAAAATTTTTTTGAAAGCAACAGCTCCAAAATACAGCTGCCAAAGAGGTATATTTTTAGCCCCGAAAAGACGAAAAATAACATTTTTTCAGGACAAAAAGATCTTCAACTACTCCCAGGTGGTAATAAAATGACAATTTATATAAGAATGCTTATTTCTACATACAAATGATCAAGTTTTAACTCAAAACAACAATTTTTTGCAACATTTAAGGTTGTTTTTCTACGTTTTGAAAATTTTGGATAAAACCTGAAATTTGTGTTTAATCATGAAATGCGAGAAGAATATAAACTATTGTATGGTGTATAAGGTATCATTTTAAAGATAGAAATATGTAGAATGCAACTAGCACATATTTGTACCTCTATCTATTAACAGCACCAAGTATTTCTATAAAAACCTAGCCCTACCCCAAAATCAAACATTCTCAGACGGTGAACCCCCCCCCCCCCCCCACAATTTTTTTTTTACTCCTACAAACAATATCATTTGAGAAAAAATGTTCCTGTTGATATTAGTTCACCTTTTATAAGCCTTAAGAGTTGAAACACGGTTATTCTTGTCTTTATAAGTTTATCCTTAAGATTAAGATAAAAGCACAAAAAATAGGTAAATCTGTCATTATCTAGCATAAGTTATTTTTAACATCAATGTTAAAATTTAACGGTCATAAAAATTGTTATCTAATTAATTCATTGATAGTATTGAAAAAAAAGTAAAAACAATCATCACATACTTATCAAACTGCAAATAAAAAAGTGTATTGGATTGTAAATAAAACTTATCACACTTACCAAAAATAAAATGAAAATCAGTATATCGGAGCGTGTAAAAAAACTAAAAAGAAAATGAATCAAAATAATTTTTTTTTTAGAAAAAGATTTATTTAGATTAAAAATTAAATAAAATAAATCACAATTATTATTCTTCCTCTGAAAAATTTGACAACTTAAAAAGAAACCAAAATAAGGTAAAATAAAACTTAAATAAATAAAAGAGATTTTAAAAAGTGTCATAAATTAGCAAAACAATTAAAAATATAAAGAATTTCAACAAAATAAATAAAACAACTTTCTTTCACTTCAACAATACCCCCTTGCATTGATAAAGAAGGGCAGTTCTTACATTCAGAAGGAATTTAACAACCAAGATATAGACCAAAATCAACTTTCTGAGTTAAGAAGAATGGGCTAGTTGAGAGGGAGTATAATCATGATATTTTACAGAGAAAATTGTTTTCTTATCAAATGTTCATTCATTTATTTCATGGAAAATAATTTGTATTTGTGACTTAAAAGATTAAGAAAAGTAAAGTATGGTTCTGTGTTCAGAAAATGTTTTTGTTATACCCCCAAACATATTTTCTTAACCACAGCAACTATTCCCCCCCCCCCCCCCCCGGCGTTTTTTCTTTTGTTCTAAAACATACTTTTATATAAATCCTAAAGAAAATCGAATGTTTCCTTTGATATTTAACATAAAAACCCCAAAATGTTCCGAATGGACATACTGATGTCCCATTGGTCAATTTTGTTTACCGGGTCGGGAGGATTTGCACCCGGCCTGCAGCAGCAGCAAAGTTCGATAACTCATACGAACAAAACATTGTGGCAAAAGTCATTCAAATATCCAATGATTTCCGCTGGCTGCTCTTGTTATTTTGTTGAAACCTTGGTTACCAATCGCTAGATGAAGGTCCAGGCTACCATAATCCGAGTGATCCCTGTTCGCGGCGAAGTGATATCACGGTAAAAAAACACTGTTTTGCAAATTTATATTTTTTACAGTGTGATCCCTATACTTTTTCAAAAGAGATCACTCAGTTTCAAAAACTAGACTATATTTCCTAAATTTTAAGCCATTAATGGTAAAAATTGGTCCAGTAATAGCCAGCGGATTTAATTCTGAACTTGGCACACTTGTTGACACATAAATCAACATGGCGGCCGAATTTTTGGAAACGACTTCACTTCGAACTCCATGCAATGGTAGGAATTTATATCTTATTACAAAATAATTACCAAAATAAGAAAATAGAAGTCTTAAACTTTATTTTGATATATTTCTATCCCCCAACTACGCTTATTTGATATTTTAATTTTAGTGTGAAAAACCCGAAAAAATGGGGTTTTTTGCTCCAACAGAACGTAATAAGCCTGTAAATGACCGTCGCCGACCTCCCTAGCAAGGCTGGAATCGGTCAATCTTTTTTCATAAAATGAAATCATCGTAAACCAGCGTGGAGAGAAACGTTTATTGATATATGTATGATATTACTAAGATAAGATTAATATGTTGGTTGTTGGTGTAACATTACTTGATATACACTTCTGATGACATTCAGACATTAATCTGTTAACACAAATAATATAATCTGGTCAAAGAATTTACAAATGTTTTTTTTCTTTTGCTCTCCGACGATTTAACAACCGAAGGTTAACTGCCATAATCATTCATGTCAGCCCATTGACGATTATTAAATCGGTTGTAAGCCTATGTCTGATGAAGTGATATCCTTGTGCATCAGGAGAGGGATAATGGAAAGAGCAACACCTAGATATTGGTGCAAACCCATGACCAACAGTAAAACTGAAGTACAAATAATACCAAAGTGCACCAGAGTGAAGACAAGACATATGTCTGTCGAAATGTCTTACCACTGTAAAAAGAAACTGTGGTAACCTTATGACAAATGTTTGATGAAGTTCATGCCAACATGTAGTCTGAAGAATTCCGACTATCAGTCCATGATTTAATTTTTTTCTTGGTCACGGCCTAGAAGGGTTTTGACAATCTGTCTGTGATTTTATTTTTTACTTTTGGCCATGACCAAGACAAAAATAAAATAATGGACTTATTGCAACAATTTGTTTGTCTTATTAAGTCTGGGTATTATTTTTTTTATGAGACAATGTAATTTATTATCTTTGTTTTTGTTACTCATACCTTTTTAGGAGTCGTGTCTATTAGAGACACCATTTTAGTCTGTTTTGTAATTATAACTTGGGATACCCACAATCCCATTGTCTGCATACACACTGCTTTAAACATAGGGTTTGCCAATATAGCTGGAAATAAAGGAAAAATGCAACAGACCTAGCTAGACTCAGATATTGAACCCATGATGTCAAAACCACAAACAGACTATCCCCAAGAGAGTTACATGGCAACAGATAATCACCATTTTCTTGTTCAGAATAGTGAAATAAAAAAATCTAGATTTCTTCAAAGCAAGTCATGTATTGCCATGTTAGTCAAATATATGTGAACATGGATTATTTCGTATGTACTGTGACCTCACCTCACAGTCATGCATTCCTGAAACATGATTACTGCTTATGTAATACTCTTATCCCATCATGACATCACATGTATATACTTCATGCTAAACATCAGTTTGAAAAAGGAATACTTCTGATAAATTTCAGCAAGTTCAAAGGCTAATACATGTTTGTATTCTTTTCACATAAACTGATACTATAGATTATTATGTCAGTATACATGTATGTTCATGTCAAGGTCTCCTATTCATATATAAACACTAATTCCTTTTGTTTTGGTTTTCTTCCACAGGAAGTTTTGTGAATCAGTAGATACAAAAGACATTCATAATGTAATGAGCGATATGATATTTCCTGTTTGATATCTGTCTAAGTTATCTGGGACACAAGAGCCCAGAGAAATGCTGAGCAAAACTTCACAAACTATTGCACTATGCTCCTTCGCCAACTTCATCAACTCGGCTGATCGAGTCATAATGCCAATTGCCATTGTCCCAATGACTGATGAGTATCGCTGGGACCTGCACGGCCAGGGCTGGGTACTCAGTTCATTTGCTGTAGGATATATGAGCAGCCAGGTAAAGATTTTTTTGTAATTTTAATTTTTTGTTTGAAATGCATGTATTGCACTGGTTTTCTGTCATCAATAATGTCTCCATTTCAGTTTAATTTTGGTGTAGGTCTTTCTGAAATTAGCCATATATCAATATACTGAGCAATAGGTTAACATGTTGTGAAAAATTTACCAATCAAAGAAGTTTAAAATTAAGTAGACAAATATACATAGAATCACTTAACAGAATGACATTATGCTTGATTAATAGACATTTGTTTCTTCTATTTTCTTGATACTGTCAGAATATATTAAATAAGAAATGATCCATTGATACTGTATACTCAGCTATTCATTGATACTTTATACAGATAGGTCTTTGTATTTAGATTACAGTTATATCAATGATTTATCTATGTTATTCTGTCACAATTTTCTCAAATATTTTAGATTTCAGTAAAGAGTAAAACATCCATATATAATGCCATGATAAATGATCTCTAACCAAACTTTGTATTGCAGACTAAACTTGCATTACTAAGTTTAATTTTTATATTAATTTTGTTAGCCCAAGATACTTCTAGTCTTCAGTAAAACATAGCGTATTTCATTGTAGTAATCATCATTATTCTGTAACCATCATAAATAGTTTGTATGTATTTAAAACATCTTACAAAGTCTCTAATCAAACTTTGTATTGCAAACTAAACTTGCATTACTTAGTTTATTGAATGTTAATTTTGCTAGACCAAGCTACTTCTGGTCTTCAGTAAAAACTAGCTTATTTCATAATTATCCTATAACAATCTAAAATAGTTTTTTTGTATTTAACACATCTTACAAAGTTTGTTAGGTGTCTTTACTGAATTTTCTTCTGAGGTGATGGACTGTACTGTAATATAACCAGGAGATCTTAAACATTTAAAAATTTGTTTTATCTTCTGGATTATTCTTATGGAGTTTGAAATGAAAGAGACTTACATCTGGATTGGGATGACATCTTTTCGCATTATTTCCATTGTTACAGTATCTATTCACAGAAGAATAATGCATCAACACTCAATTCAAACTATTGATTCCACAGATTGCAAAAAGATGAAAAAAATTCATGCTACTGGCATGACTAAACTTTTTAAAAAATATTGGTTTTGAATCAAACTTAGAAGGCTTCTATTGAACAGTAGATGGTTGAATCAATTTCGCTCATAAAAGAGATGATTTTTTAAAAAGAAGAAATTTTAGCATAGGTTATTTAATATACATACATATGAAGTTAAAATGACAGTCACTTGCAGTTCCTCCATAAAGCAAGATCTGAAACATAGATAGCCCTATTTTTCTGGTATTGGATTATGTAATGAATATTAATGAAGATATCTTTGTTTCTATAGTTCTGCATTTCTATGATGTAGTGCAATGTGCTATTGATATTGTTTCATTATGTCTCAGGTGATTGGTGGAAGTGGGGCAAAGAAATATGGTGGAAAAACTGTCCTCACCATCGCTGTCCTCCTTTGGTCTTTCTCGACATTCCTCGTCCCCTTCTTTGCTCATTCTATCAATGCTCTCATCATGTCTCGAGTCTTACTTGGTTTGGGAGAGGGGCTAGGTAAGAGCAACTGTTAACTGCAGTATTTGCTAAATTTCAGTTTTGATGTAAGATTTTTTTTTTTTCATTTTTTTTTAATTGATATTGTAGAGGTTGTTATTTTCAAGAAGTGCTGTTTTTTGCTCTTTGTGAGGATGAAATTTATTAGTAAGCATTTGGTGCCTTGAATTGATATAGAAAGTGAAAAACATCCCTTTTACTACAAAAATATTCATAAAAGCAGGAACATTGCACATCAGAAAAACACCCTTTATAGTAATAGATTGAACCTTGTAACTGAACATATATCAAAAACAGGAAAAATAATCTTTTCAAAATTTGTGATCCAAGTTGCAATCTTTTGCCTTCAAGTCCATACACATACAAGTTAGTTGTATTCTAACTTTCACAGACAATGTACATATTGATTACTTACTCTTTTTTGAACCGTGATCTTAAATATGCTTATTTCTTTTAGGTTTACCAACAATTTTCCACATATTTTCTCATGCAATACCAAGTGAGGAGCGATCAAGAGCTTTTGCTTATCTTGTGGCATTTGGTTCAATTGGCCAGACGATGGCATCTGTTGTAAGTGCAATTAATGTCATTTTTAAAGTAAGTTTTAAAACTGTTTGTAGAAATATCTGGATTTATCTCCATGTTACAGTTCCCATGTCATGGAATTTGGAAAAGCAAAAATAAAAAGATGAAAGTTTTACAAATGAAGACATGAATTATACTAGACTTTGCTATGTTTTCATTTCAAGATATTGACTAGAAAATCAGTGCTCGACATGAATAAGATTCATGCAAAATGTACTGTTGTTGTTGTGTGATCTACTCACTCTGACTTTGTGTCAGTATTTGCATGTCAGTGCCCTTCCTTGGCTTATTACATGATAGATATGAAACTTAAAAAATGAGTCAGAATCCATTTTGAAAGGATGGGGATTTATATTTGAACTTGTCCCCTATTGGAGTGTACTATTATCTTACAAAGTGTTTTTACACCATGTCGGAATCTGCCCCTCTCTCTGTTTGTACTAATGGATTAGGATGTACCATGCATATGATTAATGAAAGGCCAATTAAAAAGTACATTTTTTTTTTCAGATTTGCCCTCACTTGTCATGGCAGTGGATGTTTTACTTGTTTGGCTCCCTGGGGGTGCTATGGGTGATGCTGTGGACAGTAGCATATAAAGAAGTGAGGGGTCCTTTTGAGGAAGAGTTTGTAGAACCACCAAAGGTATACCAAATAAAATTCTACAAGAAACTAACAACCAATAGGTTTTGGGTGAATATTGTAGTTCATCTGCTAGACTTCAGGAGGTTTTGGATAGAATCAAATGTTGTGTATTTTGTTTTTATTTGAAAATTTGTATAAGATTGTGCCAATAGGAACATTGTCTAAGTGGCATTTCCATGCTGATATTTATTACATAAAAAATATAAGTTTGGACTTTATTAAGCTTTATCATGACGAAAAGGTACTGTAAGCAATTTATAAATATTGTTGCATGATACAGACATCATATGACACATCTGTTTCTCATGTAAAGATTTAGGATATAATTTAAATAATGTTAAACTATTCTCAAGAATAGAAAGCTGATTGCAGTTCAGATGAAATAATTTTTAATGCCTTGATTTGATATTCAGGTAAATAATACAAATGTTTCTTGGGGAGCCTTTCTCTGTCACTGGCCGCTCTGGTCCACATACATTGCACACTTCAGCATGAACTGGTCCAACTATATAATCATGCAATGGCTACCTACCTACATGACCCGCAGTCTCGGGGCTGATCAGAGCCATATCATGTTTACCGCTGTGCCTTACTTAATGAACTCTGTGGTAGGAATGGGTAAGTGTTTGTTGCTTAACTACTAAATTCACTTAATCTGTGCAACTGGAAATCATTTTATTTCATATTATAGCAATTTTGTTTTAAACAAATTATTTACAAGTACAAAAACTGGCTGTTTGAACCTTAGTTCACACATTTGGATACGAAATGCTGGATATTTAAATTAATGATCAAATGCTCTAGGGAAATAATATCAAAATATAGGGATTGAATAGTTTTAATGCATTTACAGTGGTACAGTGTAAGTCTTCGTACCTCATGACTTTGACTCAGAAATTGTACGTTGGCCTTCTTAAGCCTGATAAATGACCATATATTTGTTGGCAACTCTAATAGAATCCTATTGACCATTTTTAGAGGAATCAGTTCTATAGGCTTGTAATAGGTTAAAGTGACAGTCGAGCAGCTGAATAAATATCTCAATCTCTTGCAGTGGCTGGCCATTATGCAGATTCATTAATTACACGTCACAAATGGACAACTCTGTCTGTCCGGCGTCTAATGACCAGTGTTGGACTCCTGGGGCCAGGACTATTTATCTTATTTTTCAGTGCTGTCAATAATTTACCTCTTGCAGTTATGTAAGTACTTAATTCATATCAAAAAATACTTTTGTAATTTGGATCTTTAATGTCTATAGTATTCTGATTTGTTCATGTTTCTCACATGGCATTGAAGGTCATCGACTACAATAGTTTGATGATCTTTATATTTTGACATAGATATCACATGGGTAGTGCCCTTAATCAGTTTTCACCTCTCAATGCAGTTGTAGCTGAGTGTGTTCAGCTACAGGTGAGTTTGATTAACTCCATTTATTTACTCGCAATTTGGAACAATACTGGACACCGTTTTGCTACTCAGAGACTCAAACTGTTAAGGTCAAATAACAGTTTTTACCTCTTAGTCATTTATGATGCTGTATGTTTATTTAATTTAATACAGTCAACAGAATGTATACAGTCAACATAAACACTACAAATGATAATGTGCCAATTAGCAGAATTGAAGTAAAAAATTATCAGTCAGTGAGAATCTTTGATTTTCATAAAGGAAATAACTTGATATTTTAACTGTCTCATGTGTTTACAGGTAAAAATAATACAACCTGTACTTTATGCAATACATCAATGAATTTCTTTAATCATTATCTAATGATGTTACGCTTAACTGAAGTTTTGATTTTCATTGATAGCGACCTTTAGATAAATATTTTTTTGATGCAGCCAAATAAGAAAAATTGATAATTGCCATTGAAATTTAAATCATTCAAGATATAATCTTTGTATTATCGTTTTCAGTTGAAAACTCATCTTATCCAAGTGTGAAATGAAACCTTACATTTGTTCTTATTTCATGTGAGATGTATGAAGTCTTTTGTGAATTTGTCATTTAACCTCACTTGGCAGCCAATGTTAATCTGTAAACTCCATTTCAGATTTGTCTCCATATCACTTGGACTGAGTGCTTGTAACTCCTCGGGTCATCTTAGTAACCACGCTGAGATTGCTCCAAACCATGCTGGCATTACATTTGCCATATCAAACACACTAGTAAGTTTAAAAGCTCTAGTTCTACAAAACAGCTATTGAAGAATTGATTAACAAAGTAATTCAGTGACAATTTTTCATACTGGGCTTTAATCTTTGGGATAAACCATTGAGAAAAGATTCAGAAGACCATATCATTCCTGCAGTAAAGCCATAATTGAGGTGGTTTGAGACTAACTCTATAAATTACCTTTGTAGATTTGTAATCTCATACCTTCATTGATTTGTTAGTATAGTTTTGTTTGCAGATTAATGAAATAAAATAATGTAAATTGATATGGGGATAATAGATTCTAGTGATAACCATCATTTGATTAAATTAAACATGTCTAATCACAAAATAATATTGTGTTGTTTTACAGGCGACCATACCTGGCATTCTTTGTGGCCCTCTCACTGCTGAACTTGTGATGCAGAGCCACGGACGCTGGTTCCCTGTCTTTGTCATTGCAGCAGGTGTCAACTTTGTGGGTGCCATCATTTACTTGAGTCAGAGTGCAGCTAGCCAAATATTATAGCCAAAACTTGTGTTGGTATCTTGGACCAGTAATGCACTTTTTTAAAAGGTCATTGGAGTATGTAGTGTAACAGATAAAAGATCATTGCTAGTCATGTTTCGGATATTTTTTGTGGAAATGAAGACTGATAATATATCAATATCAGCTGCTGTATGTGAATAAACAATTTTTGATTCAAGAGTCTGAAGGGTTGGTAAGCTTATGCCAAGGTCACTTGTCCGTCAGTCATTTAAACATTTTTACTTTTGGTTTAGAGGTACCAAAATTATTTTAACAAAATTTGTTGAAGAAAATAGGACTGAACAGTGCATAAACAAAAGATGCTGCCTTCTCCATTCCCTGGGTTAGGGTCTGTGGGAAATTTGATATATGGTACCAGTATTAAGATTCCTGTGATAATTGAGACACAGAATGTTGTATAGCAAAGGAATGTTGATGCAATGGGGTAAAAGGATGAAGTCCATTTAGGAAATAGAGGCTGATATTTTTTACAGTAGCAAAGATTTTTACAAAGGAGCCTAGGATCAAAGGATCCTAACATAAAACAGGGTGTCCAATGAAAGAAAGTGCATTCACGTTTATGTTAAGACATTTAATGTTGTTTTAGTCTGGTCTTACCCTTTTTTGAAATCATACTTTTCAGCCGGTTTCAACATGATACTTTCGATATACATGAACATGCACTGTATTTGACTTGATAAGCAGGTGAGCTGTTCAGGCCCCAAGGGTCTTTTGTCTCTGAACAATGCGGTATCTTTGTAAGCCGATTGAGTTTTGGCTTTGTGATTTTTACTGTTGCTATCTTAACATTTGTTGACATGTTTTCTGTCCACATACATTTTTTGCCCATCGTCATCAGATGGTTGGCAATTCAAATCACCCTATGTCTGTGGTCTGTCGTCCATCCGAAAACAATTTTTGTATATTTTTTGCATATTTTTTGGGAATGTTTGAAAAAACAAAATAGCCCACAGGTGGCCATCTTGAATTTCATGTGTATGTTTTCCTTGATCCCAAGTTGTGCTTGGTTGATTTTTATACTGATCAGAAAAAGAAAATGGCCTACAGACAGCCATCTTGGAAATGGTAGGTACAGATTATTATGGCTATTTATGCAAAGGAATGTTCAAATTTGTTATCAATTAGAGCAAAAACATAGTAGAAAAGAGAAAAGAAGGAAAAAGACCAACTTTCAAAGGGCAAATAAAGATCAAACAACGGTGGGTGCCAAGATCCCTCTGGGATCTCTTGTTATTAGTGTATTTTGAAAAAAATGGTGTAAACTGTGCTGTACTTATAAAACCTGTAAAATAAATAAATGAGGAAATATTAAGAATGTGTACAGTAGATATATAAACTGTTACTTGTATGCCCAAATGACAATTTCTATATCTTGTAAGGAGTTGAAAGATTGAAGACTCTGGAAGTTTACTGAGCATTTGGTATTGGGGAACAGAAATGAAATATACAGCAGAATACTCTGTTATTTGTATTAGAAGGAAATGAAGCATCTGTGATAATCAGCAACAAGGTTGCATTTCTCTGCCATTTGTCCTCTAGATGAAACGTCAATTATATATTTTTTAATCATTGCATGTGTGTGAGCATTTGAGAATTATTTCTCGGTGTATGAGATTCTCATCATATTTATTTTTTAGTTATTGGACTTCTGATATTTACATGTTGTTTTAAAGACTTAAGTGATTACATATGTTGAAACTTGGTTTGCCTTTTAGTGGTAAGTGTTATGTGCGATACTGAGTACCGATTAGCAATGCTTTATGGAATAAGTAAGAATGTAAATGCTTTGAAAAGCATTTGAAGAAGCCATTTCCTGTTCTTTGGTACTGTTTGAAAATGTTTTTAGCATTATTATTAATGTTTTTTGTTTATAAAATTGCTCAGAAGTGTAACTTACGGTTTTAGTGGGCTAATAGAATCCCTATAAAATATACGGGTAGTTTTATTCAGAAAAAAGTTGTAAAACAGAATTTATGGAATCATGCTATAGAAACACAAGAAAGAATACATTTAATTTGATAAAAATTGGCAAGCAGGGTGAACAGAATAATGAATCTTATATCAATTTTAGGGAAATCATATTTCATAATGTTCGGTGAAAGAATAACTACTAGGGAGGCTTATTTTGACTCTTTTTGTGAATTATCACTACATTTTACACACCTCAGGTTTTTACATAAATATAATGAGTTATTGATAATAAGTATGAAACAAAATCAGATGCACTATATTTCTGATAGATTTGAATTTGACATATATGAACATGTTTGTTTTATACAATTGAAAATTCTAGTGATTATTAAACTGTATCTACTAAGTTTCATGATAAAAAAACTAGTGTGGGCCCAAGCAGAAACCAATCTTTTTCGTAAGCTTGCTTCTTCAGAAAAACATTTTGCATTAAGTTTTGTACTGGGCCCAAAATGTGGAACCTTTCTCTTGAATCAATTAGAAATGACTTTCATATGAGAGAGTTTAAACTGAATTTTGAGAATCATACGTATTTTGCTGAGGCACTGTTTTAGATAAGTCGCGGAGATATAAGTGTTGATAAGTTGATTATTTTCTTAATTCTATGTGTATACTGCCTCTTTGACACCACAAACTTGTAATTCAAAATTGTGCTAATAAAAAAAAAGCACAAAAAAATGTTCACTTTTTCCTGTTGAAAAAAGTTTGCTGTTCATTGTATGTCATAAATGATCACATATATCTATTGTGTTTCAAAATTCACTCCACTTTTCTTCTTTAAAGCTAATCTGTTTTTGCCTTAAGTCCTCAGTTATTTTGACTTGACGCCTCTCTATCTATCTATATATTATCTAGTAAATCACTTTTTTTCTGCATTACCTATTATCACAAATAATTATGGCAATAATTCAAATTCTTCAGATATTTTGTTCACATCTAAGATATATCAAAGTTTGTATATAAAGAAATATCAGTTGATTATGTGAAGAGTTCTTTTGTTATCTAGTGTGATGTACTCTGATTTAGTAGTAAAAAAATAAGACATGGTTAATTTGTAAATTTTGTCAATTTTAATTGATTTTATGACAACATTTTGTTAAGCTCTATCATCTTAACATTCTAGATCAGAAATAGAAATATTGTCTTCCACTTTCTTAAGCCATCCCTATAATCTCATTCTGAATTACCATCAGTAGATTGCACCTAGTTTATAGCATATATAGAAAAAAATACAAATGAATTTTGTTCTTATTCTTAATTGACAATATGAAGCCTTAATAGACAACATGACAATATAAAATCATCTTAATTGGTAAATTTCTATTTATGGAGCAAATTGGAAATGAGTCAATTTCACTGACTTTATAAATTTGAAAGGGAAAGAAAGTGAAAAGCACATGTATATTAAAATTGAATTTAACTGAGTAAAGTTACAAGAAACAAATTGTTTTAGTTCAGCATTGATCAATGTACTGTGGAGCAAATGATGTTAAGTTATAATAGAAAGTGTACATCATACGAGTGTCTGTACAGTATCGGTGTGTGAGGAGGGCTCTGTGTGTCATGGTCTGTGTGTAGTGAGTATATACGGCGGGCCTTACAGAGATTTCTGTAACATTTAGGTAGAAGGGTTAATGATTCGGTATGTCGATTTTGTCTTATCGCCAAAAACCCATTGAAAGCCACTGACATTATGACTAGGATTACTGTAAAGGACACCTTACTGTCTCCACTCTCTCATTGTTTGTACTTAAGCTGACCGTGTGTAAATGTTTTTTTTTAATCAGTTCCTGAAGTGTGAGACAATTTTTTGATCGACACATTAATGAGATCATATTCTGTATACAGTGTTAAGCTACCGTGGCTCAAAATTTAAAATAGGCATGCTGTAATGTAAACCTGCATATATTTGCGGTAGTCTTAGTTTAGCGCTGTGACGCACACGGTATAGCGCTTAGATTTGATAGGGCAATTGTTGTTTCTGTATAGCAAATTCATCAATGCAATTTACCCAGAAAAGTGATAATGCTCTAAAATTTGAAGGTGCCAAATTATGTAGGTTTACAGTATTCCGGACAAAGCTAGCACTCCCTTTAAATTTTGTTTAAAAAGCCTGTTAATGGGGCCAACTCATTTTGTGTTATTTGTGAGGATTAACATATTTAATAATATTCATGGAATAAGGTGCTGGCCCATAAAACTATTAACCCCCTGACAGACAATTCGCGTCTATTAAGACATGGTGTCACAAGATAGGTAAAAAATAATTCGATACGCGTGAGTGATAGTTTTGAATCAGTTTGCAGTCACCGTGATGTTGACCCCTGTACTCTAAAACACGAACATCCGAATTGACTGAATCGGATGTTTTATGCAATCGGGAATGTTTGGCACTTTCTTAAACAAGAAACTACAAAAAGTGTTCCCCATTGCTGGCCAAGTCAAGAGAATACCCATATACTTGGATATCACGTTCTTCAGTGTTATTGAAATAAGATGACTTTTTCGCTCACGAGGTGTCACAATAAAAGGATAATTGTAAATTGACCTATCGTCTAGAATGATCAGTACTACTCTGAACGCCTAGTGGTTTATGTTGTGCCAGATTATAATTGTATGCCAAAGAACAAGCTTATTTCATACTTCTATCAGCCGCCTGTATTACCAGTTAAGTGCAGTAATAAATAGTCATGCTACTACCATTGTTTATCGTACATGTATTTATAACACGAAATGCATCATATCATATTTGAAATATGCGAATGAATTTACCTGTTTTTACACTTCAAAGATATTTTACTATGGAAAACGTGACAAATAGTTTGAAAGGCACGTGTTATCGAATAGGTCCATTGAATACTAATTTCATTACATTTCCTGAATTGAAAAAAAACCGTAGTAAAAAATGGCCTATCGCAGAAATTTTGTGTCCAGCATTTTCATTAGCGTTCACATATTGTTTCCTCACAATCAACTTTCGTATCTTTTATAAACCTGATGGCTATTTCATGGGCTAACTGTGATAACAAGTAGTTATAACACCATACAATGTAAATACAATAAAGTAACTTCGGATGAAAAATGTCTATACAAATTTGAACAAATTGTTGCCGACCATTTCAAAATATTTTTGTGAAAATTAGATCATTCCACGTCCAAGATTTTTCCAGATCCGTTAGTGAACTTGGATGATGGTTTACTGAAGACATTTTCGTTAATCTTTTATTCTGATAGTAAGATATACTACATGCAGTTTGATATATAGTCGAGGCTTTATGACAGTCGGCCAAAATTTTGTATAAATCTTTTGTTAGACCTATTTGATTTGTGCATAAGAAATGGAAGGTATATTTCACCTTGCCAGATTGCTCTTTGTACAGGAATTGTTGCCACTGTTTTGATTTTCGCCGAGATTTGCTCAATATATGTCATTTATAGAATGTATGGTAATTTTGAATGAAATAAATAAACACTTTCCTTTAGTTATGTCTTTATTTCTATGTTTTTCTAACATCGATCTATAGATAGTATAGAACAACAAATTTATAAAGTCGAAAAAGAGATTGTGGGATATTATTATTCCAGATTACTGTAAAATTACTAATTTTCTTGGATACTCTAAAACCCCAAATTCATGATCATATGTCAATGAACTGTTAAAATGTAAATATATAGATATTTATTCACCATATCAAATGTCCACGAAAATGTGAAAAACACAAAACTTGAGCCCCATGAAAATATTTGATTTTTCAGTACCAGATTTATGTTTTTGTGCTTCTACTAGGTATGGCGGAATTTTCATAAACAAATAAGTGTGTCTATTAGTCGTTTTAATTGTCGATAAGTAACAGTTATAAAGATAAGTTAATATATTAATATTGATTACTGTAAATAATTTTAGGTGTAATCCTTACTTACTCTTCGCTAGAGGAGACAGTACTAGTTGTATACCGACAATTTTTAGACATAACATCGACCTTGTAAACTAGGGATTAATATTGAAACAGGTTGAATTGATCTGTAGATTTCGACCATAACTAAATCGCTTTTAGTACGTTTTTAAGGTTTCATTTTAAAGATTGAAGAATTTTCGTAAAGTTCAAAACTTTATTGCTTGTAATAATTTCTCTTGAAAATTGTCACATTTTATAACTTTATTTTTCTCGTCAAATATGATGATTATTATTATCATTATTATTATTATTAATACATTCTTAACGGCCCGTCAACACATAAAGGCCATAAAGGGCCATTAAACGGTAAAACACACAGCGATCCAAAAGGAATTAACATTGAACAAACCAAAAGGTAAAAGACAAATGTTACAAATCTTAAATGGGTATGTTAACACAAAATGTTAAAATGGTGCGTCAAAGTCTATTATAAAGACCAACATCTTTCAGGTAATGAAGAAATTTTCAAAGCCCAACAGTTTCAAAAAGGATTTTAGACATGTATTGTTACGATAAAAACGTTCTCGAGTAGACAGAAGGTCACTGCAGACCAATAAAAAATGTTAAACGGTTTAAACTGAACTGAACTGAACGGTGAATGGCTCATCACATCCTATGCACCAAGGATTGTGTAAGGTATGTATGACCCATCCGAAGACGGGCAAGGATCATACATGAAGAAGTTCTAGTCAGTTTGTTTCAGTGTCAGTTAATACATATGTCAAAGTTATGTCGCGACCTGTGACGTTGGCATGAATTTGTCAGTAATTCGTCAGAGAGGTAGTCAGTTTTATCGAATCAGAGTTACGGTACCCCAACTTGTCAAAAGTGATGCATCGAACGGTAACACGAGGTGACACGAAAATGCGCATGCCCGCGGGAAGAAAGGAAATTATCACTTCCGTGTGTATGTTTACACTCTAACAGGGATATATCGGCATCTGTAATCAGACTTTGCTCGTAAAGCTTGTAATACCTTAAGGCGACTAAGAGTACTGGCTCGCCCATTGATAAAATCAAGGTACAACTGTGACAAGAAGTAGCTTTCACGTAACATCAACATACATGAAATTAATATTACCCTATACTAGTAATTGATTAAATATGAGTGCCCGATGAATTGCTTGACGTTCAAAACGCAATGCATATACTGATATATTTCGGAATTTTTCTTTAGTGCACGCTTACTGCTGTATTTTGACATTTTGACGGTTAAGTCGCCTAGCCGATTTCATAATTAAGAGATTAACATCATTCACTCGTAGTATGCAGTATGATTCCTTGTTTGGCTCTACTGTATCTAACTTCAAGTTTCACCGAAAGGTAAAAATCACCTAAAAGTGAAACACACTTGTGTATCTTCATTTTTGTTGTTGAATGTAGAAGTTGTTACACCCCCTCTCCACACACAACGAAAAACAAATTAAAAAATAATAATAATATCGACTTAGGTACATTACTTGACACCGATGGTCCGTAATTTCTTTCCGTACAGATACATTAAGAAGGATGATAAATTGTCAGTAAAGTACATGTACATGTAGACATACTTTTCTTAGCACTGATCCATCAAAGATCAAAAGTTATGACTAAATTCGGACACATGTCCGGAATTCTGGAATGTATTTACTGTACATCTTAGAATCCACAACGATGAGTCTGTCAGTGAGTTTAAAGTCGACTACACAGAGTTAACTACATTGAACAGGTACAGATATGCTTGGCATTGCCCTTTCTTGATAACATACAGATACTTTTTGTATGGAAAAATTGAATGAGAAGTTGTGACATTGTTATCACAAATGGCAACGGTATAAATTTACTTCATGTTAATTAATTGTTTACTTGTCTTAGTGACAAACATCAACATTATGACATACAATGTAATGATAAAACAGATTCATTGAAACAAAACTCGCATAATGAAATCAAAGTATAAAGAACTTGAAGTAAATAATACTTTATACGAAATACTCTACATTCCAAAATCAAAATTCCACGTGGCCCGGAGCGTGGAGTAAAATGCGGAAGCAGTCAACATACTGACACTTCCTACATAACATACATACGTCATACCATAGTGACGGAGATGAAAAAAACATGTGACAAGAACCGACGTTTTTGATTGGCTCATGCAACCTAATGACGGACGATCTTTCCTTGTATTTCATTACTGGGGGATTGATATTTAACGCAGAGAGGACGTTCTAGAACTGGAACCGATTGTATACGAACTATCCAAAGAAAATTGTGATATACGAAAAAAAACTGAAAATGGAACGAAAAACTGTGATTTACTTTTATCTCTGTCTTGTGTTGATATTGAAATATTCAAATGGACAACAGTTTCCGAATCAACAATTTGGACAACAGAATAATGGCCAGTTTGCACCTGTTGCTGCTGGTCAGTTTGTAGGCAATGGACAACCTTTTGCGGGTAACAATCAAGTGCCTACAAATAATAATCAGGGAACGTTAGCAAACAACCAGACGCCACAAGGAGGAACGCAACAAGGAACGTTTCCAAACAATCAACAAGGAACGTTTCAAAACAATCAACAAGGAACGTTTCCAAACAACCAACAAGGAACGTTCCCTAACAACCAACAAGGAACGTTCCAAAACAATCAACAAGGAACGTTCCCTAACAACCAACAAGGAACGTTCCAAAACAATCAACAAGGAACGTTTCCAAACAACCAACAAGGAACGTTCCCTAACAACCAACAAGGACAATTTCCTAATACATTCCAGGGAAACCAGTTCGGACAACCCGGAGGAATTCCTACTTTCGCTGGACCAAATACACAACCACCGTTTAACTTTCAAAGTAATGTAGTAGGTTTTCAAAACCCAATTGGAGGCTTTAACACACTTGGAAATCAGTTTGGAAATCCTTTCATTCCTGGGAATAATTTTGGAATGGGAGGTCCTTTCGGCATTGGACCAGGGGCTCCGGGACCAGTTCAAGGCCCCGAACAAGGTATTTTCTACCAAACTTCGTTAAGGTATTAAATAGTAAAAAAGTATAATCTAAACATAGTTCATCAAAAAGATATAGAAACAAAATTATGTCTCAAAACCAACTAACATAAACTGTTATAATACATTTTTTTTTATAATTTTGATAATTGTTTGATGACATGCAGGTGGTTGGGTGGCACAGTAATAATACTCTCGCCTTTCACCAAGGCGCCCGGGGATCAATTCCGGGCACGGATGTGAAAAGGTAGGGGTCACCTACCCGACCACTTAGGGTTTCCCTGGGTACTCTGATTTCCTCCCATCCTTCTTGGATTGTATACCAACCTGTTCACCCAGGATCTTAAAAGTAAACAAATGAGGAGTTTGAGTAAATCAAGCGAAAACGTTTCATTGTTGCCTTGCTGTTTCATTCAGATAATATTAGGTTAAATCATATGCTGCCCACTAAATGCAACTTATGATATACAAATTTGTATTCAATTTGAAGTAATTTTACAACTTAATCTATAACATTCGTTTTCACATGGAATTAAATAATCGCTAATAAAGTATGCTTTCAGAAAATGACACAAAATAAACATATCAGCGACGGTAAATTAATCAAATTAATACAATCAGTCAACATAGTTTTGGCATTAAAACAATTACTCTAAAAAGCAGAATATAAGCGGTATAAAACCATCAAATGTGGAGGTAATCAATTTATACTTAACTTGGTTACATAATTGTAAGCTGTATTAACAAAAAACACCATGAAAATCACACGGAATAGCTTTCTATTCAATGAGACGTTTCTAGTCTTCATTTCCAAGTTATCCTAGAAATGTAGTTTGAATATCAATGAGATGTGTTTTCACATATTCCGAAAGAGTAATAAAAAAGATAAGAGACGTGGAAGTGTCAGTATAATTTATGAAAATATACATCGATATGTTTCCGGGAGAACGTTTTCATTGAGCTATCAGTTCTCAGTATAAGGTGACCGTGATGGAGTGTAATAAACGATTAACATTAGTCTCAATTATTTTTTCAGGCGGACCTGGTGGTCAGTTTTCTTTGGGAGGTCAGCTGTTTATGAGTTTATCTCAGAACCCTATGAACTACCGATATGCTACATGTCGGTTTAATTCTTCGGAAACTAAAATTGCTGGTAGAGCTGACTTCAGACAATTTGTAAGTACATTTGGATAACCAAAATATAAATGTGAATTATTTTCCCGGCATCCATTTGACTATCCTTATTTATATGATACGATTATTTGACGTTTCTTTTAAAAACTACAATTTGTTGATATGATACGCAGCAATTTCTTTGTCGGTCATGGTGACACCTTTTTTCTTTATATTTCGCCGATTTTGATGATACATTTTCAAACGGAGTATATATATATATATATATTGTAGGTATTTGGAGATTTCCCAGTGGACATCCGTATCCAGGTTTGGGGTTTGCCTACCTCTCCTGTAGACACACAAAGGGGGATCCATATCCATGAATTTGGAGATACTGGAACTAAATGTTCGCGTGTCGGACCTCATCTTAATCCTGCTCAGACAAGGCATGGCGGAAGGAACACCTTCGCCTTGTAAGTTTTCCTTTCTGTCTCCCCCCCCCCCCCCCCCCGATCGATGCCGTTTATGCTAAACTAAGTGATAACCAAACGTTTAATGGTGCATTACCGACATGTCCTTTCGCCGATTCCGTACCAAACAACTAACGTAATTAATTGATAACAATTACATAACATCATTTATTGATACATTTTTTCACGATTTTGAATTACATGAAACGGCAGCAGTCCAAAGAAACAGAACACATTTTAATTTTATCAGTAGATCCAATCAAATACATACCGTAAACAAACTATTTGTTCACAAATTCGATTTGATTTGTTTGATATTTTCTAGCTTGAGACACGTCGGTGATCTTGGAAACATGCTCCAGTCCCCGCAGGGGGTGACGTCCACCCAGTTCCGTGATGGAGTTATTTCCCTTCAGGGACCAACCAGTGTTGTAGGACGTTCTTTAGTGGTAAGTTTAACGACTAATTCTTCATTTAAAACATATATATATAATCTGTTAATGATATTTTTATTAATATGTTATCAACAAGATGTTATATATAATGAAAAGATACGATATGATATGATAAACTATTTGTCAATCGATCTTAGGATACTCTCTAACTTTTCTATTGGTGTTAACAGATTAAATACGAGCGAGATGATGAGGGTTTCGGTACCAATGTGGACAGCCTACAAAATGGTAACGCCAGGACACCCATCGCCTGCTGTACCATCGCACGCTCGGGACCTGCTAACTGGAACAACCCATACACGGAAGCGGAGTTGATGTCGCTGAACGGTGGAGGGGCAGGTCTACAGTCCAATTTTGGCATGTCTAACGGTGCTGCAGGTATGTAATATGCACCAGAGATAATGAAGTTAAGTAATTCTGAACACCTATTGATAGAAGTTTTAGAGTGGTTTCTCCACCATGCTTTTACATTTGCACTCTGACTTAGAGAATGTAAGGCTCCTAATTTAATGATAATTTGCAAAAGTTCTCCAATTTCATTCTGTAACAGAGTGGGTTTCCGGTATTTGTTTTTATTTGTGCTTATGAAACACAACTGTGCAGGTGGTAAATAGATAATTAATCACCTTTTCACAATTGAATTTTCCCCTTGATTATTTTTAGACGAGTGGCTTTCTGGCTTTCGTGTTCAACTTTGTATCAGTTCACAAAAATATAAAGAATCCTTTTTTCTGAATTTTGTAGGTGCCAATACTTTCGGAAACACGGGGAGTCAAGGATCTGGGTTCAACTTTAACTCACAGAGCGACGCAGGTACTCCCGCTCCTTCTCCAAACCCTCAGGGAACGGGTAACAACGCGTTCGGATTCCTCGGAAATAACGGCAAAAAGTAAATACAGAGGCATTCCGAATTGTGGAAAGCGTGCGTTCAACAATATACCACGTACACAGATGTGTTGATTTGTTCATCTTTATGATGTTTCTGTTGTGTGTATATACATGTGACAACTTAGTAACTGAAATGACAAAATCATGTCATTATTTCAACAAATTGCCAGTTGAAAAAAATCTAGATATTGCATATTTTTTTACATGTGGCCTTGTTTATCAGGAAATATCCATGCTTTACACAATGAATTAAACTTACACATTATGTCTCGACTTGAATAAGGATAAAAGTAACGCTATTTCAATTGATTTAATTTATTTAAATCAGAACCCGCCAAATTTTCGGTTTCTCCAGTTAATATCAGCAATATTCAGTTTTTCAGAACTTTCATTTTCGTGCTTATATGTTAGTGTCGCTTTAATTTTGTACTGATGCTGTGTCGGTAAACTTTGTTGCTTTATTATTGTTCATATAGCAGGTATAAAATGTGTGTTTTGGTTAGGGCTGTTAAATGGTTTGGATAGGTAGGTCGTCATTTAAAAACAAACAAACAAAAATAACCTATAAATTTTATGAAGCAAATCGTGTTAACCAGATGGCAAAAAGCATTTTCGTGGCTTTAAAAGTGCTAGTTTGATATAGGCAGGTAAATAATATTTCAATGGTAGGGCGACAAGTTATCCTATAATATCTCACGAGAAACATCTTTAAAATATGAAATGTACATTAAATAAATTAGGAAGATTCTATGCAGGGTCAAATGAAGACTGTCACAAAGCATCTTAAGAAGATACGTCTTAGGGTAGAACTTTTCAGGGTACGTACGTAGATTGAAAGACTTTCAGAGCAATGTAAGAATCAATATTACAAGGTAGAACGAAAGCTTCAATCAGAGGTAAAGCATGGTATTGGTTTCGATATTTTAAAACTCGACTTGTGAAACCGTATTGGAGGCTTTAGATTATACTACATTGTAGTTTGGCACTGCTAGTTACGGTATCGTGTAACGCCTGGACGTTTTAGAATGATAATGCAACTAGCATGTAAACCGCGTTTGTTATGTTTATAAAAAATATATTACATGCTGAGGTATACTGAATTATAACTATGGATTCTGAAATTGTTCACAGTGAACTTTTCATTTTAGTTTACGGATAAAAAAATGATTGTTTAGAATTTACTCATTAAGTACACTATTATCATATCTAATTTTTTTAAATCCTTCAATATTGTTTTCAGCGAGACAGCTGATTCAGAATCATAGTTTTTACATTTTATTATCTCAGTAGCTTGGAAAAAAACACAAAAAATTCTTGACTGTATATGAAGAAAGATTCAATTCCGTTTCATTTAAGATTTATGATTTTGTTAAGTAAGCTCGATTCAAAAGTGAAATCGTTATAGTGTATTCACAATGTACATGTAATAGGAATTGGAAACTTCTAGGCAAAACATTTTATGTATATCATGTTCACCATTGTCCCTATCGTGTCTAACACAATACATCACCTTCATTTTTTATAATAATAATTTGTGTAAACTACGTTGTTTTTGTGTAAACCTATGTGTATACATCGTAAGTGTTCTTGTATCGTTTTTTTTTACAATTCTAAATTCATGTTAATTACAACAGACTGACAAATATTTCGTGCCTTGATGGTCTGCAATTGCATGACTTACTATATCATTATCTATTAATTTCGGTCACTTTGCATTAAATTACTAGATAATAAATGAATAAAATTACATAATTGTTGCAACTTTTCTTTTTACAATATGTCAAATTTTACTCAAGTTGAAACAATCAAATTTAGCCTGTTTCGCATTGATCTGGACATATCAATACGTCCTTTACATATTTAGTGAAGGGAGAGAACCATTACACGTATTTGTTGCTAAGCTTCAGGCTAAATAAATGTAAAACAATTGCTCCAGATTCGCATATCATAGATTGACGAAGAAAAATAATAGCGCTCATAATCATCAATAGACCAGATATGACACTAAGGTAATTTTTTAGCAGAACCGATTTGTTTTCAATGTTTTGATATCTCCACGAGACCTTGCAAATGTTTGCTACAAAATGGCAAGCAGTAACTTTTTTATCCTTCAACTGTCAGAAAATGAGAATCTCGAACAATAGCGCCCACTAGAAGTATCTGCTACAGAACTGTCTGTGGACTTAATTCTTGAAACCATGGGTACATCAGGAGGATAGCAACAATCTCCGTGGCAATTTAGGAAGGTTGCTTCTGCCCAGTTTGAAATGGAGACAACCGAAATGTTAATTCTTCCGCGGTGCTGCCGAAGAATGTTCTTTATTTCTAAAAAATAGTAACAAAATCAATCATTAAAATCTATTTTTTATGATCCTGAAATTCAAAATGTTGGACAATATTTTTGAACTAAATCCATTCGACTTCCACCAGTTCTAGTAACTTCATAACCGAATTTGTTCGTAATATTTAAACAACATGTCTGATGATAAACCGAATTGTTCTTGAGAAAATGAACAGATATCTCAAGAGCAACTCAACTCATACCTCATCAAATCGACCAAAGTCTATACTCGTATGTATGGGGAAGGCCTTTATAGGCTTTTCCAGTTGTCCTTTATGCTAACGTTTCTAACGTTTAGAAAAAGTCGTGTCTATTAATTTTATGATTATATATTTTTGGACTTATCGTCACTTATCCGGCTTCAGTCCTGTCTCCATGATAACCTAGCAAGGATTATAATAGGATTATTATAAATAATTCTTATTTCCAAGAACAAAACAGATATATGTCATTTTTTCTTTTAAAACTATTCTGAAATCTGACACTTTGAATGTATTCATCAGCGGGTGGTCGGGTGGCGAAGCAGTAACGCACTTGCCTTTCATGTAGGTGTCCGCGGTTTGATTCCCAGAACGGACGTGAAAAGCTAGATGGCATAACCACTACATATATTTTGCAGAGGTGACTGGGAAATATTTTGAAATATCAATCAAGCTAAAGAGAAATTCTTTCTGGTCGAGTGGTATATTGCGGCTAGTATTTACCAGGGTTACAAGTGTTTGCAATATATTTTCAACTTCACGGCTTAAACCAGAACAGTATATATAGTGATCGAGGCCTGCAGCTCCTCAGAATAGAAATTTGGAAGGCGAGTCGACTTCAACTGATTTCGTACAAATGGGTCGTAACAATATCAAAACAGCAGAGTGTGTGAACATAGTCATATCTGCGTGTTAAAGATCACAAATAGTGTGTCACCATATTCTCTATTTAAGGGGTTTGTTGGAGATTATAATGTGAAACGGGACGAGATTAAAATTTTTGGATTTGTCACAGGTTTGTTGAATAAAAGGTCCGGAATAAACATTTAAAGTACAACTTTGTCTTAATAAAGAATGCAGTATAAAAATATACCTTCAGGGTAGATTTTTCCAAACTTGATAATATTTTTATATACATGTATGTACAGTTGGGTTGTAAAGTTGTGTTTTCCTTAAACTGAAGCAACGTTATTAGGAGATCGAGATCATCTAATTTTCATTGTTTATAAGTTTGCTCCCGTAGGAGCTAACAAAAATTGCACTTGCGGCCATATTTCAGGCCACAGTGCGGGGTATTGGGTATAGTTTTCAACTAGCAATAACCACGTCTCGGAAAATCCTCATCGACTATGGTACCGCCACTGCGCAAAGCTAAAGATTACAACACAAGGCTGGCCTATATATATCATGTTATATATATCATCATGGGTGTGTAATGATATGTATAATTGTTTTTTGTCATTTCAGTTTGTCAAAGATATAACCTCTGTTTCAGATTTTTGCTGTAGATTAAATCAGTAATTATATATATATCATATTTATCAAATTTCATTTGAACACGTGTTAAATACAACAACGTTTTAGAATTCATTCAAAACTATAGTCTTCACGATACGTTGTTGGTACGTATACAGATAACTCTTTCTGTCAAAATGATCAGCTGATGTCCCTTTAATTGTATATTTTCTATTCATTTCATGATCGAAAACTTTTTAAAAAAATTATTTTTTTTATGTTTTGATTAAAGTGCAAGATATATAAAACACAAACAGGTCATGAGAAATCAAATTAAAAAGATGAAAGGGAGATAATTGGAATGATATTTTTTAATTTCTGAAAATAAGGGCGACGCTCTAAAAAGAACTTCAAATGCAGTAATAGCAGGTGAGTCTCTAGAGTCCGACAATCACCTTGGAGCAGTGAAATCCGTCCGCAAATGTAGCAACCTACTTATATATAAATGCCTTAGATACAGAAAGAAAACATATTTTGATAACCCTATATGTGAGGTGCAAGACATTTTAAGATAGTTTTTTTAATTAACATAAATAGCAGATATATGAACACTGAGGCATTAATTTTCTGCGTAATTCAACTTACTTAACTGTTGTTAAGATTATGTCATTCAAATTTAACGACACTGCAAGTCAATTACCATGTGAAAATGTGAAAAAAATACTCTAAAACACGCCACTGTTTGTAGAGGAAACGATAATAATGTGTGACTAAAAGGAATATATATCTAGTACAGGAATGATGTTTCGTTTCATTTACATATGAGATTTTAAGAAACGAGTTTCATGTTTTGCAACCTGGCGAGCAAACATTTAAAGTTCGTGACTAGTTTCCTAAATTCTCACATCAAAGGAAAACTTATTTACGATTATTCTTATCACATAACTCAGAACGTTAATTTCTTGACATTTTTAAAATTGTGGAGGACATAATCTAACAGAGGTAGCCATTTTGTTGCGTCATTGTCCATATCATAACATCGCCATCAATTTCTGGCCGATGAAAACAGCGTTCTAGTGTTTATTACACTAGTGAGATATACGTAAAATTATTACATTGGCGGGTTAACTAAATATGATATATCCAAAGTAACATATATGCTCTGTTTTCATATCTTATATCATTTTATGATGTAAACTATACTTCAATTGTGCAAGATATTAATTGT